TTCCAGTAGCTTTGCTTACTTTGCATAACTTGCAATAGTATAGCAAGTATGTCAAGTAAACCAGTTTGAATTTTAATGCCTACTTGGCAAATTATTTGCCAAATAATTATTATTTGGTTTACAACAAATAAATGTTTAGTTTTAATCTACATTAAATAACTAGTGTATTAATGTACATAGTGTAATTTAATGTACATTCAAACTAGTATAATTATTATTATAAAATTTATCGAACGTATTAAAGAAACTTATTTAAAATATTAATATACAAGCAGTATATTAGATAAGATTAGATAACTAAGATAATAAGATTAGATAACTAATGTACAAAAGATAACTAGTATGATCTTTTTTATTTTTTTTTTAATAATAGCCTTAGATTACATAAAAATGCTTGAAGTTTATTGTATCGTAAATGTTCATTAAGTATTAAAAAACATTTTTTTATGATAAATGTTCTATTCAATTTTAGTTCTGTTAAGTTGTTTTTGTCTTTTTGTTGTAGTTTTTTCTTTAGAATTATTAGAATATGTAAATAATGTAATATAAATAATGTTTATAAATTCTTTTATATTTACTTTATTATTTTATTTAAATTACTACATTATAAGCCAACAGGTTTGACTGGCAATATAAATAATGTTGTTCATCGTTTATATTGTTTATAACATCGTCAGTTTTTATATGCATTTAATATTTTTAAAAATAGTTCAAAAGCTGTCAAAATAAAATGGTGAATTGAGTTAAAACCAGAAAAGATATAAACGTAATCTTTGGGATTCAACTTGTAAGGATGTTCCAAGAACCACTTAGTTGGAGAAGGAAAACTGTGGTAATATTTTATAAGTATCAGTAAGGGAATTTACTTAATGCACAAGATTTTACTTCATAGTTAAATATAAGCATATAAAAGCAATGTTTATAAATAATACACTATTATTTATTATAATACAATTATTTTTATTTGTTTATATTTAACTGATGTAAAGTGCTCGTCTTTAGTTAAAATAAATTAATTTTTGCACACACTTTGATATTTACTATGCTTTTACATTACTATACTTTATAAATTACATATTTGTTATGTTTTAAATAGTGAAGTAAAAATATAATAAATTTTTGAATTTAATGGTATGTGCGTAAGTTTTTTTATTTTAACTTTATCATTTTATTTAAATTACTGCGTTATAAGCAGGTAAGTTTGACTGACAATATAAATAATGTTGTACATCATGCAGACAGCTCAGACAAAGAAGTAAGTTTTTACTTAAAATTACAATTTATAAGTTATACTATATTTGTTGCTGCCTTATTCTATATAAATGTTACTAACATGCAGGTAAAATTTATATATGTGTATAAATCTTTTCGTTTTAACCTTATCATTTCATTTAAATATAAATTTTTAATTTATTTATTTAGCCGTTCATTAACAAGTCCTGTGCTTTATAATATATTAAAAAATGGAAGGGCGTGAAGAAAACAGGTTTGTAAATGATGTTGTACATCATGCAGATAGCTCAGAAGAAGAAGTAAGTTTTTTTTTTAATTACAAAAGTAAATATATAATATAATATTTGTTGCTGCCTTGTTCTATATAAATGTTTCTAACATGCAGGTAACATTTATATATGTATTAGTTTGAATAAATCATTTTAATAAAGTTACATTATAGGCAGGAATGTTTGACTGGAAATATAAACGATGTCGTACATAATGCAGATAGCTTAGGCAAAAAAGAGGTAACAATCTAATAATTTGTATTTATAAATAATGATATATTCATTGCTACTTTTTTCTATATGTTACCTAACATTTGGCAACATTCATAATTGTGTATAATGCCTAATTATAAAGTAAGTTATAATAGATAATAATTATAAGTAAAATGAATTAGTAAATAAAGAAAACTAGTTAGAATGTATATAATAGTTGTATGATGTATTGTCTAGATTGGTGAAATGGAGAATGAGACTAACTAGGGTGAAAAAAAATGAATATTAATATGTGAATGGTACTTTGTTTAACATCTACCTGTTTCTACAGATACAGTACAGACGCATTTATAAATGGGCTTGATGTTTTTTTGAATTAAATATGTTGTATTGATGGTTCTTTTTAACTTGTTAAAACTTGAAGTTATTATCAAATTTATATATACTATTTTTATCAAATAGTTAATATAAAATAATAAACATGTAAATTGTTTTATTTTTTGTAAAAATTGTTTTCTTGATAAATTTCAATTGTTTATCACTATGTATATCACTTATAGTATTATATTACTTGTAATTTTTTGTTTTATTTATTTTCAGTATGTTATACATATGCGTGCATTAAATATTGTGGGGAAGTCAAGTTTTGATGTTTTAGGTGATTTATAGCTATTATTTTTCAAAGATTTGTAGGATTTAACAAGATTTAAATTTTATTTTGTTTATTGATTTTATTTGGAGAAAGCGATCTCATAGATTAAGAGAACTCAATAATAGTGGGATAAAATTTGCTTTTATGATTTAATATGACAATTCAAATAACATAAGATAAAAAAACTTGAAAACAAATCATGCTTTTTTACCATGAAAAATCCATAAGTTTTCATTGGAAAGGTGTTCCTAATACCTATGGAAATTCCATGGTTTTTCCATGGATAGAAAATCATTGAATATCCATGGTATTTGGAACACTTTTCCATGAAAAACTTAAAGATTTTTCATGGGAAATTCATGTGTTTTCCATGGAAAACTCATGGTTTTTCCATGGAAAACTCATGAGTTTTCCATGGAAAACTCATGGTTTTTTCATGGAAAACTCATGGTTTTTCCATGGAAAACTCATGGTTTTTCCATGGAAAACTCATGGTTTTTCCATGGAAAACTCATGGTTTTTTCATGGGAACGTGTTCCAAATACCCATGGTTTTTCCATGGGTTTTTTTTCTAAAATTCCCATGGGAAATTTTCGTACGGGCAATTATTGATGACTTGTTCAACTTATTATTTAACACATTTTGTGTAAATGTTAAAGAGTACCATGTTATTACATGTTTTATGTCTGCTGACAATTTAACAGCTCATCCACTTCTTGGTTTACAATCACATTTTCATAGTGGATACATATGTAGACACTGTTATTTCTTTGTTAGACAGGAAAATACAAATGTATTTCAAAGAACTCATGAATCTTACATTGTTGATAGTACAAAACAACAACATGGTTGTCTGAATTTATCTCCGTTTTTACACTTACCATATGTGTTTTTGCCTGCATTTTTCCCAAGTGATTTCATGCATGATTTTTTGGAAGGAATAAGCCATGTTGTAATTTCAACATTTTTGAATCATTATATGATCAAGCGAAAATTAACATTACTTGGTATGAATTTATTTCTAAGAGATGTAAAATTGCCAGTGAATTTAATATTGACATCAACTTATATGACATCAAAGCTGGCACTTACGGCTAGTGAGATGCTAACCCTTTCATTGTGTTTGCCATTGTTTCTTTTTGATAGCTTCAATGATGAAGATGCACCTTATTGGGATATGATCGTTATCCATTGTGAAATTTTATTGATTTTAAATAGCCGTTGTAATGAACATATTGAATCATTACATTTTCTTGTTCCACAACTTGTTAACTATATTAAAACATTATATAATGGCACAAGAGTAGCAGCAAAGCTCCATTTTATCACACATTATCCTGACCTTTCAAGCTACATGGGAACAATGAAAACTTTTTGGTGCATGCTTTTGAACAACGACATCAGATTTTTAAAAAGCTTGCAAGAGTTAGTCAGCAATTTAAGAACCCTATATATTCATTTTCAAAAAGATTTCAAATGCATGAAACTTGTAAACGGCTCTTTGAAAGGAGTAATGACATTGTTCCAGGTAAGCTGCAATCATAATAATTGATGAATCGCATATTTGTTTATTTTTATGTAATATCATACAAATATTTTATTTTTCAGGATCAATCTCATATGCAAAAATATCTCTTCATCATGCTCAAGAAGCACTTCTTGAACGGTTTAAACCAAATTTGAACACTATTTTTCATACAAAAAAATTAACAGTCGAGGGAAAACAGTTGATAGTATCTTCTTATTTGATTCTAAGCGAAGAAAAAGCTGTTAAAATAAATCATTTGATGTCTATTAACAGTGTTTGGTATGCGATGTGTCAAGAAACAGCAATATCATTTTTTCCTTTGGTTAACTCGTATGTTGTAGAGCATCATAAAAACTCATTTTCTTTACTTGACATTTTGTCTCTTAAATTAAGTTCATCTAAATCTGTGATAATAAAAGATAAAGAGTATATTGTCACACTATTTATTATATGAATATTTCATATGAGTTGTTATTTCTGCCTTTTAATTATAATTTATTTTATTCAAAAATAAATAAAACTAGTTCAGCACAACACTACTAGTGACAAAGTTAAAAACTGAGACATCAACTTTGACATAAATTACAGACATATGTATAAGACATAACACTAGTTATGTCTTATACAGCAAAAAGTAATATATATATATATATTTTTTAATAATATATATTTTCATTTAAGGTATTTATATATATATAAATAAACTGATAATTTTTTATCCCAATGAAGTATTTTCATAATGCAGTTTGATACAGGTAAGTAGGGCTAAAAAGCAGAATATATAATGTTCCATTTTTTTCTTTGGACCCTTTAAAAAACCTGATGTCCTGCCAAACCTCCTTATTTACCTTACACCTTCTCATAAAGCCTGCAGGTTATATCTTGTGATAAATAATGATAAATAATGTTAGTGATAATATATCTGATTTACTTTAAACTCTTTTTGTGTTATATGTTAACATCTACCTATTTTTGCAGATGCAATCAATAAATGTACAAAAAGGTGACACAATAAAAGTTATTCTGTACACTTCATATTCTGATTTGCTAGCAAAATGTGTCAGTAAGTTCCCATGTTCCTCCAGCAATTCGCTACAGTTGTATGATGCTTCTGGTGCAGAAATCGATGATGGAGAAACCCTAGATTTTTTAGTTTAAAATAATAATTTGAAACAAGTGTTTTTGGAACGTCAAGTGCCAAGTTTTACAATAAACGCATCACCAGAAGAAATTGTAGGAAATAAAACTATTTCTGCAAAACAATGGCCAGGATTGAAATTTGAAATCCCAACAGATGCAATTGTGGAAGCAAGGCTTACATCTGGGATAATTGATGCCAAATCAATAGTAGCAGACGGTCAATTTATGAACCACTGGGTTGGGATAATTTTTTATAAAGTATTGGAATATGTTGATCAACAAAATCCGTATGTTATAGTTGATATATTATATTGATTTTTTATCTAAATTATGTTTTAACTCTAAGTTCCTATTATATATTAGTTTTTATCAACATCATAGATATTTAAATGGAATTCAATTAAATGAGCTGGTGATGGTTATTAACGAGAAATACCCAGAGTTTAAAGCTGCTCAATATTCAGTGAGTTAATTTGTGCTGTAGTGGGCTAATAAATTACGTAATAATATTTTGTTGTTGTTTAATAAAATTTTTGGTCCTTGCTTAAATATATATATATATATATATATATATATATATATATATATATATATATATATATATATATATATATATATATATATATATATATATATATATATATATATATATATATCAATATATATATATATATCAATATATATATATATCAATATATATATATATATCAATTTATATATATATATATCAATATATATATGTGTTTATATATACACATATATATATATATATATATATATATATATATATATATATATATATATATATATATATATATATATATACATACATATATATTTATATATATATATATATATCTCAATATATATATGTGTATATATATACATATATATATATATATATATATATATACATATATATATATATATATACATATATATATATATATATATATATATATATATATATATATATATATATATATATATATATATATATATACATACATATATATTTATATATATATATAAATAATTCTCAATATATATATGTGTATATATATACATATATATATATATATATATATATACATATATATATATATATACATATATATATATATATATATATATATATATATATATATATATATATATATATATATATATATATATATATGTATGTATATATGTATATATATGTATATATATATATATATATATATATATATATATATATATATATATATATATATATATATATATATATATATATATGTATATATATATATATATATATATATATATATATATATATATATATATATATATATGTATATATATAAGAGCAGCCGTGGCGCAGTGGTAGCGCACTTGCCTCAGAAACATAAGATCCGTGGTTCAAACCCCACCTCTGGGCAAGCTTTGCGACATCGGTTGGGAAGGAGGCGTGAACTTCCTATTAAATGCTCTTCCACGGTGCTCTGTGATAAGACCGTAAGGACTTCTTGGGGCACCTAAATCAACTTGAAAAAAATAAAAAATAAATAAATAAATGTGTATATATATATATATATATATATATATATATATATATATATATATATATATATATATATATATATATATATATATATATATATATATATATATATATATATATATATATATATATAAAATTTATTTTTTTACTACTAGAGATGCTTTCACGAAAGAATTATCAACAGGTTTAAAAATTATAGAAGAAAAATGAATTGTACTTCTGTCATTGAAAAGCGAAAGAAATATGCTAAAGCTGCTGTGACAAAAGCTATGAAGAAGTATTTTTTTTAAATCTTGATTATTACATTTATATTTTTTAGATATTAATTATGTTTGATTATAAAAGTGTTTGCACTCTCTTTAAAAATCTTTAAAAACCTAAAACCTCCTTAAATATCCATAAAAAGAGATATTCAGTATTTTTATTGAATTTTATTGAAGTAAATGTATTGTACTTCTTGATAAAGAAGTAAATAGTTATTTCTTTGATGATTTGAAATCCTATAAAAATTTATGTTATACGCAATATATCATATACCGTTTTTGACGTTTTACTATCTATTTAAGATTCTGTATAAAAAGTAATGACTATTTTTTTAATTCTCCTTAATTTTTTAATATGTTATTTTCTTGCTGTTTTGGGGTAAATCTCCTCCAAAATTCGGTAAACTTTTCTTTAGATCTCATTAAAATCTTTATTTTAACCCACTTTTATTAGTGGTAAGCCTGTATAAGATTATCTTATCATTTATCTTAAATATGTCATGACTTGTTCTTTTTAATAAACATTTTTTTGTTTTATGATCAGATTACATATTTTTATTGTAATCTATTTTTATATTTTAGATATATATTTTTATTCTAATCTATTTTAGAGCAGTAAGTGACAGTGTTATCAAAGAACCAGTAAAACTCATGACCAATATAAATGCAATATCTAAAGTTGTAAAAAGGCATATGTAAGTTTACAGTTTTAAATTGTAATTTCTACTAATCTAGTTTACTGTTCTCTCCTCTAAATTGTGGAAAAAATTGTGAACTTTCAGGTCAGGTTATTTTGCTACTGGTAACATGTAACCCAGTACAACCTGCTTCGTGTTAACATCAGGAGGGGTCTTCTGTTGTAAAATATTGCTTTAACACTTTTATAATGGCATTTATATGGAGAATCATCCAAACCACACAACTGTGGAAACATGGATGTAAAATAAAAATTAGCTTTACATCTGTTTTGTAAATTATCTTATTTTTTATTGTATAAATGTTCGTCAATTATTTTAGCTTGTCACAATTTCAAACAGTGTTCAAACCTCACTTGAAGCAGAACTTGTAATGGAAACATCTTTCACACAACGAAATAATGCACGAGAAACTGTTTGCTTTTTAACAGAATTTGAATTATTCAAGTCCTATTTTTTGTCAGCTGAAAATGTAAGAATCCTTATTTCTTCATTTAACTTTTTTTTTTCCTATTTATGCAAAATGATGTTTTTTTAGGTATATAATGAGAGCAAGAGAATGCTACAAGTGTACCAGTTAAATGAGAGCTCACCATACAAAGATAATGGATTAGACTTTGAAGGGGTTCAAGTTTTAATGAAAGATTCTCTTAGAAATATTTGCATTAAATGGGCCCCATTTTTAAAGAGATATTCATCTCTTCTTAATCTGGTAAAAATGGTTAACCATACTATGGCTACTTCTGATTCAAATATAATCGGATTTCAATTTATTGTAGCTAGATGTCGTCAAAAAGTAGAAGAATTTACTGAAAAGGTTAGTTTGATTTTATAATTTTATTAAATTGACCTCCCCAATGCCTTGAGAGCTTAATTTTTTTTTTAGTTAATTTTACAATCCTCTCTCAACTCTTTAACTCCAAAACAAAGGTTTTTGTGTACTATACGCAGAAACAAGTTGAACACAGTTTTTTATATTATTTGCATTATTAATAAACAAACTGATATAAAATATAAGTTTTTAAATACATATATTAAATTAATATGAACAAAATAGGTGATATTATCTTTTACGAAACTATACTATACTAGTATAGTTACTAAACTATACTACTAGCTAACACGGTTCCATGTTTTCTTCTTCTTTTTTTTTTTTTTTTTTTTTTGATTAACATTAAAAATGACTTATTTTGATCTATTTCATTTATTTATAGAATATGATTCGTCTTCAATACGAAAATGGAGATTTTGCTGTTACGTTTGATAAATTTTCTATTCCTTGTGCAAACTTAATTGAAGTTCTTCTTGTCAGCTCATCGTTAAGTGTGGGCTTTAATTTGATACATTGCAGAAAACAAGAGGCAGTATTTGAAATATTGGAAATAATAATGCATATTAGAAAAAAGAGTAACATTAAAATTGTAAAATCTATTATGTTACTTTTATGATGACTTTGTTGCAATGATTAAATAATATTTTTTATTTCGGTTTATCTTTTTTTACGTTTTTTTAATGATTTTTATATGGCTTTACCATTTAAACTTTTAACATTGTTTTCTTTTATGAATACATTTTTTGATTATATAAGTTGTTCCAAGTTTAATTATTTTTTTTGTCACTTTATATATTTTGTGTTTGTTATAAATTACTTATAATTAATTGATTATAAGACTGAAATCATAGTTCTAAAACAGTAAAATAAAATTGTTTATTATAAGTTGTATTACAACTCATCAGAGCGTTACAATCAGTTAATACATCATACAATTAATACTGATAATTGATAATTGTTGTGAGGAATATTAAAGGAAAAATAATACTAATAAAAGAAATTAATAAAATCAATTGTATATAAGTGTATAGTGTGATTTTTTTATTTTTTATGTTTTTTGCTTTATGAATTTATTTTATTTGTTCTTATATGATTTTTATTTTGATTATTCAGGTTTATAATAAATGGAGAACCACTATGGGTTGAAGAAAATATTGAACTTCTTCCTACCAAAAGTATTGGAGAGAAAGAACTGTCTCTATTGAGAATTCTTTCTCTTCATATACAGGTGAAAAAAGTAAAGTAAATGAAATATTAACCTTACTCGGTTTTTCTTTCATGAAATAAATTAAAAATAAAATATAATATAGGCAATAGGAATATTTCTTAGTAATTATTACTATTTTATTTTTTCAACGATAAGTATTAAAATGTTTGCTTGTTTTTAGAAAATCGTTCATCTGGAGAGTGGAACTTATTTTACCAATTTAATTCAATTTCTGTTAATTGTAAAAAACTTGTTTAATTGTAAAAAACTTGTTTAATTGCAAAAAACTAATGAGGCATAAGCATATCAAGTCGTTAGCAGTCGATTAAATTTTCAAAGTTACAAAAAAACACTTTAAAAACTTGTATTACAACTTTATTTTAAATATATGCATTTTTTTTTATTGATAATTTGTATTTGTTGTAACACGCTTATATAAAATTTTAAATTCCTAATGTGTATTTAATATAAAATTTTAAATGACAGGTTGCTTTGTAAAACATATGTTTTACATAATATATTTATTATGACGCTCATAAAACTTATCTTTCATAAAATTTATATTGCACAAAATTTCGTAAAAACATGATAAACCGCAAGGTTGAGAAGATCATGTTTATTTTTGAATAATTTAATATTTGCGTCATAAACGCGTCGTAATTGCGTGAACATGTTTCAAATGCTAATGAAGCATGAGCACCTTTATTTGCATTGACACCTTTTAACGGCAACACCTATTAGGTGTTTATGTAACAAGAACACCTTTTTTTACATCAACACCTTTTTACGGCAACACCTAAGAGGTGTTCATATAGTATCACGCATCAACACCTTTTTTCTTTTACATGAACACCTTTTTCCGTAACAGTGTAGACAGAGCTGGATTTTGCAGAAACTATTTGTTAAAACACAAACAAAAGACAAAATGAGCTGTTACAGTGCAATATCTTATGTTATTGCACTTTGCAACTGTTTAAAACAGTTGCTACAGTTATACCTTATTATTTATTATTTAAATATTTTTAATATACTTTGTTTTATTTTCAAGTGTAAAACCAACGAATCTCCAGTTTCTTTTCATATTCTATATATCTTAAAAGATAAAAATAAATATAACTTAAGAATTGATAACTTAATTTGGCAACCTTTATCTTTAACTATTTTTGGATAGTCACGTATTTCATATGGTGGAGCCTTCTTTGGAGCAAAATAGTTTTAAAAAATTTTGATTTTTTCCATGAATGGAATTATCTGTCATTCAAAAAAAAACTAAAAGAAATTGTTTTAACTTTTGAAGACATGTTTTTAGATTTTTAAATTCTTCTAAAAAAGAATATGAAGTTTATTATATAAGGTAATATGTAAATATTATATCTGATCCACAACTTTTGTGACTATGAAAAAAGTACTTTTTAAAATGTTTTTGTATTTATATAGGAGTATCAAAAAGTTCTTTATTTCAATTTTATTTATATATTATTACAAAATTTACGTTCTCGCTAGTTATTACTAGTTTTTACAACGACATTTTTATTTTTTTTTTTGATTTTATACTTCATGTTAGTTCAATGTACTTAGTATCACGAGCGGTTCTTAATGATAAGACCTCAAGGTCTTCTGCGAGTCTCTGCGTTCTTTTCTTTGTACATATTTCTTTTATTGTTTAATGATTTTTATATTAACTATCTTATTGTATAAACTGTTTTGAATATTCAAGGAACGAGCAAAAAAAAACGCAAGTGCAATCTTATCACCAAGCCGCTTTTAATAAAAATGTCAATAATTAAAATACAAAACAAAGTAACTCTTTAAAAAAATGTTAAACAAAACGTTGCGTTAAAATAAAATAAAGTTAAACAAAATGTAACGTTAAATAAAAAATCAAAATAAAAAACATTTCGCGCTATATTACAGTGTAATATATCCAAAAGCATAGGAAACTTTTGCTAATTAATTGTTTTTGTAAATTAAATTAATTTTTTTTTAACTGGTTTTATGTTTATAAACCTTTTGAATTTAAATCATAAAATTACATATAATACACGCATAATAAACAATCAAACAAAAAATAAAAAAATATAATAATAAAAAAAAAAAAAGAATAATAAAAAAAATAAATAAAAAAAACATTTTTAAAAACATTTTTAGTATCTTAATGTGTCTTTTATAAATATAAAAATTATTATAGCAAATAAAAAACAACGTCGTAATGTACCAATTGAATAACAGTGTATTTAGAATATTTATTTAAGCCATATATATAAAGAAATAAAATAAATATACGAAAGTGATAACTCCTAATCAAATGCTTCTGAAAAATTTTAATTCGTTGTCATTTATTAAAAGCTTTTGCTTAGGTTTGTTTCTAAATTGTTTAATAGAAGAAATAATTTTTAACTCGTTATTCAATAGCGTGTTCCATAGTTTAGGACCTCTGTTTGCCATTGAAAACTTAGTAACAAAGTAATAGGTTTTAGATTGAAATTTTAATTTAAGTTATACGACGTTGAATGATTTGAAGCGTTGCGTTTTATCTAGGGGCATAGCTTAAACTTATAAAAACTTTCTAAACAGTTTATAGTTTACAATATTAAAATAACTTCATTTATTTTTAGGTTCATTAAATTTTAATTTTTATTTCAAAAATTGCAAAAAGTGGACATTTAAAGCTTATTTAGAGGGAAGCATTGAAAAGCGGCTCATACCAAGAAATTGGGTGGTTAGAGATTTTGTATGGAGACCTACCTGCATACTTCTGGTAAAAGCTTATTTTTTAATAATCTTTTACTTTAATAATTATAAATTTGGAAACTTAAATTTTCACTCTGATAAACTTCATCATTGTTTCCACTTACACTTTTAACAAGTATGCAACGTTAAACTCTAGCAAACAGGTCGATGTTAAACATCCATAATGCGTATAATTTTACGTTACTTTTTATTAAATATTCTCAAGTATTTGACTTCAAAATTTAACAGCATTTAGATGTCAATTTAAGTTAATTTTTCAATGTCGAAAATAAACGAATTTTAGTTGTCACACATCTACGTGTTTCTATCTTTCCAATATTTAACCTAAAGAAGACGTTAGCATATCTTAACTTCTAGGTTATATTTATATTAAAATGTTTGCTTGGATGCAGGTGAATCTTAGACAATGACGTTAGGTTGATTGATTATAAAATGTGTTTTCAAAAATGACGTAAAAAACTAATTTATTAAAAACAAAATTAAAACATCGTCTACATAATTGAATAGCGGTAGTACTTTTCAAGTACTTTTATTCAAACGAAAAAACAAAACAAATCTTTTTAATAGCGCGGAATTCCGCCGTGCACAAAATAAGTATTAGGAAACTTTTTCTCTAAAAATTTTACTTCGAATTCGGTTTGCCAATAGTTTTGAACAAAATCAGACATATGAAACTGATGGACGACGTTTCGTGTTATTTCGTAGTTATCTTTGTCAAAGAAAAACTCAAAAAAGTCAGTGTCGTATGCATTCTTGCTGTCGCCATTTTTTTTAATCACGTAGGGACGAAGTATGCTAAAATAGAAATGCTTGAAATCATCGCTACCAAGATTGTAGAGAGCATTACCATTTATGTGCATATAGTTAGGAATGTAGGGATCATTTTTTTTGAACTTGTTTATGTCACCTCGGAAACAAGACCCCTTGATCCAAAAGTTTCCATTGCCAATCTCCTTCATTAGAGCGTTTAACCAGTTGGATTTAATTGGCCGTACATCCGGTTCCATGTAAAACACAAAAGATGTACGATTAAAATGTTCATTACTTCTGTTAAGCATTGATTCAAACATTAATCTAGCACCTTTCACGTGCTGATCCTCATCTTTGTTATTGTACTTGAAAAAAACTTCATGTTTATTGACAAAACAGTCAATGTTTTTTGACATGATTGAACTTAGGTTTCTGAGAAAACTTTGCTCCACATCGGTGTAGCCAACGTAAAATATTAACTCAACGCTTTTATTGTTAAAATTTATCATATCACACGGTTGAAATATCTTCCATTTATTTATGTTATCAAGCACTTTGTCCAGTTGTTTTATGTGAAACGGAATTACAATTTTTAATTCACTGACTTGTTGTGGCTGTTGTAACTGTTGATATGGGTGTTGCTGCTGTTGAAATAGATGCTGCTCCAGATAAATTGGTACGGTATAATTAAAATTATGATAAATTATTTTTGATAAAGTAGCATATAATGAAAAAAAATATATGATTGAACAAGAAATAGTTAGCAGAACAAATAATTTACACAGACGTCTGTTTCCTGAAAAATATTTCTCCGACATTGAATATCAAACTGATTATTTATCATAGGGAATTTTAAGGTTTTGATGTTAATATTTTTCTTCCAATCGAAAAATAATCTAGTTTATCTTTTTTCTAAAAATATAAAACAATACGAGTGAAAAATATTAAAATCTATTTTATATATTTATATATAATATATATATATATATATATATATATATATATATATATATATATATATATATATATATATATATATATATATATATATATATATATATATATATATATATATATATATATATATAATTTTGGCGTAATATATGCACGATATTGGGTATCTTGGCTAATCTTGGCCAAGATATCCGATATTGCGCCAATATTGTCAAGCAATATTACGCCAATATTGTCTTACCAATATTGGCAAACAATATTGCGCCAATATTATCCATTATCGTTTTACTGGTATTGTTATGCCAATATTGGCAAAATATTGGACCAATATTATCCCATTATCGATTTACTGATATTGTTATGCCAATATTGGCGAAATATTGTTTGCCAATATTGGCTTTATATTAACTTTTACATATTGGTACGCATGCGTAACATTAAGGAATATTCTTAATTTCCTTTAGTTTTGTTAAATGTGTTTAAATGTAAATAATAGCATCTTTTTACATAAACAGGCATCCTTATGTTATTAATTTTTTTACAAAAACGAATTAGAGTTCAAAATAAAAATTTTAATTTATGAAAAGAAAAGAAGTAGGAAAAGTATTTTTAATTCAACATTTACAGAGTGAATCAGGAGAAGAAGTGTTGGTAATTTATTTTGAAACAGGTAGTATCACGAGAAGAAGTGGTAAGAGTAATAAAATTCTTTTATTCAACATTACGAATTGAATTACCAGAAGAAGTGGTTGTAATTAATTTAAAACATATTGTATCACGAGAAGAATAGGAAAAATATTGCTATACTTAATATCAAGATTAAAATAGTAAGTTTACTCTTAAATGAAAACACATTGAGAAGATCTATAAAATATAAGTTTTATAGTCTATTTATTTTGTTAAAGATATTCGTTTAAAAAATAAATACGTCATTGTTATTGTTTCTAACTGTTATAAGATTTTAATTTAC